CCATTTGGTACAAGCAACAGGTGGAAAAAGATTTTTAGGCTACTCATATGCAGATCAAGCTGTTAATGTCGAATAACTACGCGTTCGAGATAGATATGGATGTATCAATGAAACACTATTTAACATCGCACGATGTCACTTTCTATCGGCGGTGGCGAACCCATGACGTTGATTAAAGCAACTCAAGAAGCAATATTACTTGGAGAAAGGAATTGTCTGGATATTTATGAGAGCGTCAAAGCCTCTTTTGCGATGGTAAAAAAAATCGAATCCTACAAGTGCACCAAGCAATTTGACGTTCGCTACTATAATGTGCGTGGGAAGGCTTTTTAAAGCCAAGTGGTGGTGCAGCACTGTTTGACGAAGGAAATGATGGCGGACTATATACGAACCAATATTCATCGCGCAATTCGAAAATCTCCCGGACAAATTGAATATCGATTGACTATACACTGTCGAGTCGAGTGGGAGCATTGTAGTAAAGTCGCGTCAGCTACCTATTATACCGACCTGATACTGGTTATTTAGTAACCTGACAAAATCAAGTATCATTTACTATAAGAGCAGTATGAGCAGACGACAAAGTATTAAATAACGACTAGATATTCAATTACAAGATTAGACGTGAAGCTGGTTTTGCAAACAAAGCTCACTTTAATCGTCCCATTTACTGCTAAATTGATCTATTCCACGAAATTTCTCGGGTAGCGCATACACTTTTAGCAGCAACTTTTGGGAATCCAAACCCTCCATAAGTGTCGTACTTTGAGCTATGAATGTTTTTAAGACAGTCAAGGATAGAGTACTTGATTTGCGCACCGTGTCGGTAAGCACTTAATTCAAAGCTCTACATATCAGCTTGATTGGCATGGACGTCCGACTTGAGCGTCGACCAATTTTTGACCATCTGAAACAGAAAGCATGGCGTAAACGTTGATGTGCCGTTTATATCGTCGTATCTCACCATCTGTAATTGACAGTCATTACAGCTACCGAGCCAGTGTCAAGATTCTCTCAAATTACAAGTAGCAAGTGCTGCAACTAGTGTTCCTGACTATACTCAAAGGAAGATGAAAGCTGAGAATAGTGCCACGTCATAAGCGGCAACGATGCCTGAACAATCTTGAGAATGTGGATCGAGGGGTACCTACTGTTCTTCTGGACAAAAGTTTCAGCTGTTATATACCTCTGTTCCGCTGTTCGATTCGGTTAATAAAGGCATTTTCTCAGTCATCGATTGCTCACGGCGTAGGACAACCCTCGTGCGACAGATTCTAGTGAGCACATTGCGTAATGCGAAACTTCGACTCCCCCCAAGAGTGTCGACTTGTGTCCGAAACTGAGATGGTATCATTTTGTATGCGTTCTATGAGCTACACCATTGCACTGAGTGGCCTACGACATCTCAGAAGGTTTGAAACCGCGTCGACGGTCGATAGCGGAGAGTAAATTCAATACATGGGCTGGTAGAGACGCTGCTTCGTCAACAGCAAAACGCTTCACATCTAACCAATTTATAAAAGCGAGATCGTGATATGTCTTCAGGGACTCCACTCTAAGCGCAAAATATGTTTTCGTTCTTTTTGCAATGTTGAATATATGACTCAAATCTCTTTTCGGTACGACCGCGAACAGTTCAATGCAGCAAGACCGCAACATAGTCTATCTAGACCGTAGACACTGCATCTGTGGATATATCAGCAGTTAGCACTCATTCCTTGTCACACAACATGTAATATTTTTGCCTCTGGTATCGGTGTGCTGCGCTTAACATCTTGACCCTCAGCTATAAGTCGTGCTGTATCAAGAGTCCTCCTTCACTAGGGCCCGAGCTGACTCGTAGCGAGTGGGAGAAATTCGCATCAGTGCTGCGGAAATCCACGCAAGTACTTTGTAGAATATCCTCGACCTCGAAATTACCGCGCTCCGTCTGGGCATCTAGCTTTAAATGGTCACTAGCTGAGATGACCTATATGGTGTCAAGCACCTTGAAACAATTCTTGACACCTTTGCTTAATAAAGCAAACCTCTATCCAGCATAATGGCTACTAGCAAGCCATTTTGGCAAAATACGCTTTTGAGAAATATCTTGGGCGACTTTAACCACTGCGGACGACAGCAGGACCACCAGCAGAACAGACAAAATTGATAAAGTAGCTTTAGCTCTGCGCGATAGTAGTGCGTAGCGGTCTTTACTGCTCCGCATCCTTTTGGCAATTGAGCTTTTTAAATCGATGACGAAGCTTTCTGAAGTAGAGACAAGCACATGAGGTATATACCGGCGCTTGTCATCTCTCGCGCTGTCCATTGCTTGCAAACTTAAGCCTTGACCTTGACAGAGCGCGGATCTTCTCTGCGCTTCATGTCCTTGTGAAGCAGACCGGACGCCATGAGCTTCCAAGATGTGAGAAATATCATTATCAAGTCAACCTTAGAAACCGGGGCGACCACAAAGTGGAGCTTGCTTGATTTTACCAACGTGCTGTAGCACATTGTTACTTCACGTGTCATTTTCTAGAATAAGCAGCCACAAAAAAGAGATTATTGATCAAGCCTCTTTTCACGAAGTGAAGACCCAGAAACGGTTTTCGCATCATGTGCACCATCGACTAACAGGATAAAAGTCTACCTCAAACTCTTGGTTGCATGGCAGATAATTGTCTTGGTATTACATGTCTACCATTTGAGCATCCACTGGTCGAGCGTGGAGGGACAGTGTTGAAGCCTGACCCCCTCGGCCTTTTACAGTTCTCGTTCCTCGAGCACCAATTGCATCTTGAGCTTTTCTGCGAATAGGTTATCGTACCGTAAAAGTTGTCGATGCAATTGAGGTCGGAGAGGTCTAAAGTGAGAGAGTCATAAGCGTAGGCAACAATTGCAGGACTTAAGCTCTAGACCTGTTGATGGATCACATGAGTGGCAAGCGGCAAAGTTTAGAGTAAATTTACAAGTCCTTTTCGCACTATTCGCCGCTACCTCCAAATCTCTAACTGGATATCCTGCTGTCAACTTTGACTGAATGTTTTGTCGTCTGCTCTTGTTGTCTTCTCCCATTGATGATTATTCTGAGTTACTGTCTGGCTACTGAGTTACCGGTGTACCATTTCTGGTCAGAACATTACCTTTGGTCCGCATGCATTGGCGTGTAAGAAGTCACACCAGCGCGGCGAGCAACTATAGTAAAAAATAATAGTCTTGATGTGATCCAACTGACAATTGTAAGCATAAATCTTGCGCTTACGCTTGCGAAGGGGCGTGTGGGGCACAGGATGCTGGTGAAGATCCGAAAATCGTCATTAGCTTTACGGCGGTGCGTCGCAAATTTACCCACCTTACAGAAAGGGCACAAAGCTTGTTTCTCATGCGGAGAAAAACGAATCACATTGATCACGTGGTCTTTATCTCCACGCGAGGGCTGAGGTGTCTGGTCAGCACTGCCTCGATAGTTTTCATTAAAGAGCACTCCAGTCTTAGTGATTATAGTCTTATGATCGGTAGTCGCAAGGACCGCGCCGATCTTGGAGGGTCTCTGAGCGACGTAATAGCTTGCACAGGAGAAGACTTCGAGGTCAATTTAAATATTTAGGCAGGACCGTTGAATAATAAAAAGAGTGGAAAATAAAGCTCCGCACGCAGCGGCTGCGCGCTAAGCGTTCTCATTTGCGCAATATCTTATCAACAAAACATTTCAGCTGAGTCTTTTGTGGAATATTGTGTATACATCTTACACTTCCGTACAATTGTGCAACAATCAATATTGTGAGATTTTATGAAATACACATTCCATTTTTGTGATTGTGAGATTTAAAACGTAACATGAACAGTAATGTATTCATTAATACATTACTGTTCATGTTACGTTTTAGCAACAATTATGTATTCAGAATAATTGTTGCTAAAATACCATTTATTTTTACAAATTTTTGGAATACCACTGCGAATAGGGCACGTAGTACTAGGAGACTCACAGTATCACCCCTGGGGGACCGTACAAAGAGATACTCACTGCATTTTTTAGCGCGATCTCCAAATTGTAAAGCTTTCTCCGTGCTAAAAACACGGCAAACCTTGCTGCACTTGGTAGCAATAGTAATCTCTCTACCACCAAGTCATTAATGGACTGTGATTCTCGTGAGGATGAGCATGTTATTTCCAGTTACCTGTGTCCGGGATATCTAGACAGGCTTTTAAAAATTATGTCAATTGTTGGCCTCGAAGGATTCGGAAAACAGGCGGCCCAAGGGCCGGAGCGATAATGACCCACCTGGAGCCATACACAAAATTGGGAGCAGCGCGTGAGAATGGACACTCATGTGCAGTAGGAGGCTTTTCAAAGTTAAAGTCTCAAAATGATAGAAGCCGCGAGGGCTCGAACTGACTAACTATTCGTATCGCGGGCATTCAAAGCGAGGAATGAAGAATATATAAAAGAGTTAAAGCTATTATCGCTTCAATGGATATTATTTACCCTATCTATAAGGCAGGACCGACCAACATCTTCATGGACGGTCTCAAGGCGGGTCTTTGACCCTTCGCGCTCAACCGTTTTCTTGATAGTCTGATTTGCGACGCGCTGTTGCTCGAATGCATGGCCGATTTTATGGTCATAACTTCTTTGCACATACAGGGGAGCGTCTTTCCTGGTCCCGACACTCGAAGGACTAAATGAACAGCAGCAGCCTCATCATGGGTACCACATGCTCCACATCAGGGCCCGATGAGGAATCTGCTGGTTGTGTCTCACCAAAACATTATTCAATGCGGAGAACACACCTGTGCTGTGTGGGCTGATAGTGGATACAAATAGTCATTTCTATGAGCGCGTTAGAGGTAATGGATCTAAAGTGAAATTTCTTTGCTGCTGAGCAGCTCTGCAGTACACGGGAATATAAATCTTGGGTATATAAATATTATTTTCTTGCGAGCCATCCGCTGTCGTCGTAATATTTTCTTTTTGAGCTTCTTTGCTAGTGGAGAGAAGCTGGGCTCCTTTCAACTTCATGAAAATAGAGGTTAGCCCCAAGTGGTCTGAAGAGCGGTGGGCTTACAGTCAAGATTTGCTAGGTACAGAATTTAAGGTCCTGGCGATTGTGGAGCCGAAAAAAAGCTCCGATAGACTCGGGAGTCCCATGCGCTTACGCTCGACACGAGACCGTCAGATTAGTTGACAGAACATTAAACTTTACACAGCTAGAAATTCGATATTTGTACGTCTTTCGATAGGACACTAGCAAAAATATCGAGGTTTGTGTGGGGCCGTTCAAGTGTCATTAAGGACTCTGTCAGCGTAGAACGTGAATCCGATATATGATCTAGGTGGGCTGTGACAAAAATACCACGAGCCACGAAGAGAACTTAAATCGAAAAATTTGGGTAAGACGTACATTTCTTCTGATATAGTCTAGATGAATCCTGAACACACTTTTACCAGTAAACAAAAGACTTTTGGCACGGGCACAAAGGTTCTATACCGGGAATTACGAGTCCAAAATTGATAATTACGATCTTTTTAGGTGCCTTGAGCAGAGATCGAAAGACAGAAGTGATAGTGGGCGATTCGCGGTCTCAGGATGAGATAGAGCGTAATTCTGCTGTCATGCATATAAAACTAATTATTTGTCGTGGTCCTCCGAGTATATGTCTGATATGAAAGTAAAGAACAACGAAAACTTATCCTGTGTAAGGACCGGTGAAGAGTGGGAGCGACTGGGCGCTGCGGTCTCCCGCGCCCAAGCGATGGGTGTAAGTAAGATGTCTCGTATCCTTAATGATGTTACACTTATGCTTTGTCACCACTACAGTTTGCCAGACCTACCACACGAGCAGTGAAGTTCCACCGCTATGTGGCGAGTAGATTTATTTTTTTGTGCGTCCAGTGCTAAGCGACTGTGCGAAACCCTAATTATCTCTAGCACTAGCTCTTAAAGCGCTAATGAAAATACCGTTACTTGATGCATACAAAGTTACTACTTTAAGACAACAATGACATAGAAATAGTGCGGTTGGTACCGGAGAAGGAGCTGATTTCAGCATTCGTCATTTATGAATCTGCCCTTAAGATATCAGAGACGCGGCGACTGCGGGGAATGGAACAACTTGACTAAAATATCCTGCAAATGCATTTTTATTCCTTGTTGAAGAAATACCACGAAGTGTCGACAACAGATTGACCACGCATGTTGCCCCAGATCGGAGATTGTATCATAAAAGCACTTGTTTATGAAAACAAGTATTTTGACACACGACATTGGCCCTTATGCAGAAATCCGTATGACGCTATTGATGGCTACCTCTGTGCAGAACACGGAGCTAACTTTTCGGGAAAAAGTAGCTCGTGTAACGCAACCATTAGATTTTTGAGCAAGTAAGACTTATGATACACTCTGCTTTTATGTGAAAGCCGCGTAGTGGTTTTATCATCTTGTTGTGTCCTTCCTTCAACAAAAAATAGGAAGAACGCATAAAAAGCTGTTCTTGTCTTCACACTCAGAACTCGGGAAGTGCTTCAAATACAGATTCATCGGGCACGTATGGCGGGCACAGCTTCTCCTTTGGTGCTGACTGTAGCACTTCGGTGAGATCACCATTTTGCGATTCTTTAAACATACCCACAAGGAAAATTTCTTCACATTAAAAAGTAGTTCTGCGAGAGGTAGTGACGGATAAACTTTTAAGATCCTAGGAGTACGGTCGGACTCCGTTGTTAAGTGAAAATTCATTTTTCCACTTACCCGAGGAGTTACATGTCTGCGCGGTAAACCCGTCGCACGGTATGATGGATCAGCTGTGCCGTCACAGCATGTTTGGGATATACCAACATTTCAACTTCAAGGAATAGCGCTTCTACTTGCGACATCTAGTCGCCCATCAACTCTACCAGCACTGGCACGGATGATTGCGACTCCCAGTCGCTCCCACTTTCCATCTGCCCCGGCATGGAACACAACAGTCCCGGCTATTTCTCACTTTCCGCCAAGGATGCACCTTGAGGACCACGACATGTCGGCCTTTCTCGTCTCCAAAAGAATACACTCTGAAGATTGCGATAGACAATTGATTATTTTCTGTCTTATTCTGAGACTGCATCTCACGTAAAGCCGTTTCTGTCTTCTGTGCTCTATTGTAGGCACTGAATTATACCAATAAATTCAATTTAGTGCAAGCCCACGGTCTGTATGGAAGCTATTGCAGTTTCGTGCCCGCGTCAAAAGCGACTCTAACTTCAGAGATTGGTGGGCAACAAACGCGTATGTGCGTGGTATCATACTTTTCCAAATTTTACATGGCTTGTGACGATCTAGCCATGCCGTACCTAGAATAAGGTCAATTCTCGAACCTGGGATCCAAGACTATATAACTTTTCACGTTATTAAATTCCCTAAACGTCACTTGAAGGCTCAACAGAAACTTCTACTTTTTTATCAGTGTGCCCGTCGAAAGACGCACGAATATCGTATCTGATCATGACAACTATAATACCATCATTGTTTTTGAAAGTCGCACGCCGTACGTAGTCATTCGTCGCTTTTAAATCAATAAGGGCTTCTCACGAATCAACAATGGCCAAAATATTGATATCAGAAACTGGCCGGGACGTTTATCTTGACAGCTAGTAAATCTGGACGGTTCGTCTCACCCCTCTGATAGGGCGTCGCTCCCATCGGGACAGAGCGTCATTGACCACGACCATCTTGGGGTACAATGGAGACCAGTTCTGTTTCAGTAGGTAGTCCTAGCATAAGTAAACATTTGAGCCGAGAGCAGATGTTTTGTTTACTGATACATTTACATCCGCGAATACCGCGATGCTGTTCAGCTGTGGATCCCAGTCCTGTTGAGAATAAAGACACCCCTTCATCGCCTCTGCCACAATCAAACATCTGCTATTTCTTGTTACTGTACCCCATCAAGCCGTAGCAGCACGGAAGTTGTACTTCGCAATTAATGAGACACTAATCTCTTTCTCAAAATAGGTAAGGATTGCTTTAGGTCAGTAAGCGAGCCGCAACCGTTCGTCGACCCTTAAGAAGGCGCTGTTTACAACAGTCACTCAAACACAACATATACGCCTGTGCGACGAGGAAGCAATTTCCGACGCGGAGAGATGAGGAAGAAAGAAGAACGATTCCGATTCGGAAAATACCTCTAGAGGTTTTAAACGTAGATTTCCATCAGAATAAAAATGACTCATTGGTTCCTTAATCTACATGCAAAACGCCACTAGGTCTTACAAATATAACCTTGGGTTTCTATGAATCTGATTCATAAAATCAAGAGTGCACTGAGGTTGAACCTCAGCTTGAACATATAGAAGGTCTTGTGTGTACGGAGTTGAGCTTTAACAGCTTAAACCTCGAAAAGCTTGAACTTCAGCTTGCATAGAAAGTTCCTGACATAAATTATTGGCTTACGCCAACACTTTTAATTGACAAAGATACGTCGGTCTCGTCACCAGTACAAGCTCCTAAGTAGGAACCAGCATTCAATATGTTTATGACTTCATATAAGATGTGAGACGTATATGTCGGGGTTCCATACTGTAGTCCATTTTGTTTACAATTTTCATAATGCATGCATAAGGTCCATAGGTTGCCTTTATATAATGCAGCAATGTAGTCCATTACATCACCCCTGTTAAAGTTAAAATTATTGATAAGTTGGCAGACCTTTTAAAGAAGTTCTCGTTCCGATCAACAATGCCGCGATCAAGTGAATCAGCTAATTTGAAAGACGTTCTTTGCCTAAGCGGCAAAAAACAGCTCCAAACTCTTTGACGTTACCCCATTGTGACGGAGATTACCCATCCGTTCACACACATCCTCAGAGGAAGGTTTAGATCAACTGGCACGCCTCACGGCGTGTTGCTCGCATCCAACGAGCCGTTGACTTACGTAAAGAGGAGAAAAGGTGAAGTGACATTTATAGCTATAGCAAAAGGCTTTAAACCTTTCACACCCGATAAGTGCCTCCAGTTCTGATACAAAAGAGCTGAAAGAGGGTATACAGATGTACAAATGTAAAACTTATATTAGTCATACTCCTATCGCCCATGACCACCATATCGATGGCAAAGCAGTCTTTTCCGGCTCCTGACTGCTCCAATTGGTGTCGTGGGGGGTGTAACGGGGTTACACATACCCTGGTATGAAGGGGTGGGTCACACAAGTTGGTGTGACCATACAAGGGTGTGGGTGACACAAGTTGGTGTGACCATACAAGGGTGTGGGTGACACAACACGGTGTAACTACACAATGGTGTGGCTACACCTGAACAAGAAGTCAGTACGTGGCTGGACTGCCAGTAGTTATGCATTTTCATAAGGTTTACTATGTAATTAGGAAAACTTATAGATTTAGATATAGACGGCTTGCCGCAATTAAAACCAAGATATACAGTTGACATTATGAGCGGAAGAGTTTTTTGCCTTGGTTTGAGGTTGTGGTTACTCTTGGAGTAAGCAGATTGCGATTCGCCACACTAGCACTAGTTCTAAGTATAAACGACGGTCACCGACCTTAGAGGAAGCTTAGCTTCGCTTAGCTTCCTCTATGCAAAAGTGCTACGGCATCTCCGATGCAGGGGCCATTGCAAACAACTATATCACCAAGGAATTCTGTGATTTCTTCGATGGATGCACGCGCCCATACTATACCATTCGTCGACATGTAGATTAAATTAGCGCTGAACAACTTTTAACAAAAAATTTCATTCTCATCCAGGTAATGCCTGCCGGATAACGCATCAACCATAGCGTACCTAGGATGAGATTGAAGTTTTCATTTAAATCGAGAAGGATAAACTCGTCTTCGATTCGAAAGTTCCCAAACCACTTTGCTAAGCGGTAGAATTGCTTCGGCATCTTTTTGTAAATCCTTTTGCTGAATAATTAATCGTTTCTCTTTTCATATTAGGAGGCTAACATTATAAATTGCGGGCAAACAAAAGTTTTTAATGCATCAGTGTCAATCAAAGCTCGGAGTGATTTCCTACAAGGTCTTTTTGGACAATCGAAGTCGCAATCTGAATGAAAATTTATCACTCTAATTGGGAATTTCATGTGCATCATGCACATTGAGACCAGAGTTTTGTGTATCCCCAGCGTTTACAGTATTTCTCTCGGGCCTCAAAGGGAGCACCACCCCTACTGAACGGTCCCGTTTCTTTTATCCTTGAGAACCGACGACCGGTTAAACATCCACGGTTGTCCAAACGAGCAACCTGCGTCTGTTGCCGACTGAGCAAAGACACTTGGCAATTCGAGGATATCACTTGTAGCAGTCGACTGACATGCTTGTCTTGGTACGAAGCCATTCAACGTGGCTTGCT